TCAAAAAACACCAAAACATGATGTCCATTGAACTTTCAACGCGCGAAGGTGATCTGTGTACCTTTCTAGAGACCGCTAGAGGACTTTCCCGATTAAGGGACGGTAGATGATGGTACGAGGAGAGTCGTTGAGGACTGAGCGCTTTTTCGGAAGGCTTTTTTGCGTGTTGCAGGGGTACGTGTGTGGGGAATAAAACTGATGATAATTTTTTCTGAGTGTCCTGATATTGCTGGAGAAAGGGCAGAAACTTCTCCTGGGAAGTGGAACTTTTACATTTTTGATATACTGAGCAGCACTTGTAGCGTCGAATAATTGTGATAGGTCTTTGTTCACTGAATGAGTTTAGACACATATGAGCCAAGAAAGTGGAAATCAGAGAAATGCAAAAATTTGTCTTCAGTGGGGATCGAACCACAAGCCATTGTTTCCACATATTTTTGGCATTCCCAGAGCCGCTCAGAAAAAATGATTTTCAGATTCATGCTTCAGACGCGTGCCCCCACAAGATGCAAGAAATCGTTTTGAAAAGCGTTCCATGTCCTGGAAGACTTCCTTGTTAGTAGGCAAGCCCCTGTGTAAGGAAGCGGCGCTCAGTGAAGCCATGAGGAGATGTATTGGTAATCCCTCAGCGGTGACTTGATATGCTTGCAAATGAAATCATGTATGATAAGAGTCACTCGCTCTTACCGCACACCTTCGATGGCCTCGCGATAGTTCATCTCCCAGTCATAAGGATCGCTCATCTTCCGATCGCCAACCATTTCCTGGAACGCATGAGTTTAATTCGAATTCTTAAAAAAGAAATACATTTTTTTGTACCGTAAGCAAAGCTTGCAATGCTGCATAGTTTGGCTCTTCTTCGGTGTTCAAACTGAAGACTGCTCGAGCAAATTCTTGAAATGATTCACATGTCAAAGAAAGGAAAGAGGTTTGAGGAGCACCTTGCTGAAAATAAGGTTATTGAATCAAGAACTGAATCACCGACGGGTAGGGGGGACTCTCGTACATTTGAAACTCACCAATTCCAGTTTAGCTTGTTTAACGTCTTCGCCTTTTACGATGTACTTCCATGGCAAGTCACCAACAAGTAGTTCAAGTCCTGAAAAAAGGCCTATTACACTGATGTTGAATTATCCCTCAATCATGGCCAATGGATAGTTACTATTCACGGGTCGTAGTCTAAAGCAACAGCACGCGATGAGTCTAGGCGGATCGTCAATTTTGGGGGGGATAGATCTGCGCATACGCAGGTGTCCTGTTGGCTCAAAAATAGCGCAGAAGGGCGCTAGGGTCCTTGTTATGCATTCGACCGCTCCCCGTTATTTTCGTACAGCCGCCTCAACTTCGCGTAGAGGCATGAGTCATGCTTTACAGTGGCCAAAAACATCCTTTTGTCGTCTTTTGTGCATGGCTCCGCACACCGCAGAGACGTTAATGCCTCAGATGCCAAAAAGGATCCGTATAAGCGTCACAAAAAATTTCGGCGCACGTATTGAGCGCTTCGCCGCCTGGCGGCGCTCCGAACCGCCCATTATATGTATCCGCATCCACGCGTCAAAAGCCTCATTATGGACCCTTAATGGATCAGCAGCTTCTCTAATTGGATAGAACTTCCCGTGAAGATACATAGGTGTGCTGGTTCTCCCAGCTCGCAGAGGCGGCACAAGGCAGCTAGGGTTTCTACAATATCTACCAAGCGTTCGAAGGTGCTTGATGGCGCGATACACTCCGCAATCTCCTTCGCTAATGTTGCCTGCTATGTTGCTCGTTCGCTATCCTTTCTCATCCTCTTAGTTCATACACACGCCAACAAAGTCTACCTCGTCGTTGAATTCGTCGAATGGCATCGAACATGGAGCGCTAATCCTTGCAACAGGTTTTCCCCCGATATCGAGAATACCTTCTTAACGCATGTCACCTTCATACAGCGTTAGAAACCCAGTCATCTTTTGGACGTAGAGATTAAGAAGATGTGGTTCAACTCCTGCTTTGACAATCTTCGTCGCCTACGCACCAACATCCAGCTACGACGAAGAAGAACACGAAGCATTCTATATGGAATTGGAGAAGTTCTACAGGGAAGATCATACCTTCTTTAAGGTCATCGTCGGCGACTTCAACGCTAAGATTGGCCCAAGAAGAACGGCTGAAGAACTTCACATCGGTACTCACGGAATGGAATGGAATGAGCAGGGTGAGAGACTGTCAGAGTTTATCATGTCGACCAACACCATCCATGGTAACTCACAGTTCCAAAAGCCCCCTCACCTTCGTTGGACTTGGGAGTCACCTGATGGACAGTTCCATAACGAGATAGACCACGTCATCTTCAATCGAAGGTTTTGCCTGACCGACGTCGCTGTTGTTCCGAAGTTCTACACGGGATCAGACCATCGTCTCCTCCGCGCAAAGTTCCACTTTTCGATGCGTGTTGAGAGAGCCTCGAAGTTCAGGAAGCGAAGCCCCAGGACAGTCATCAACTGGGATCACTTCGCTTCCCTCGTCAGCTTATGGGAGGATTCCGTCATCGAAAACATCGACGAGGAGTACTATCGGCTCGTTGAACATCTTCACGATTGTGGCAAGAAGGCAGAGAGTTTGAAAGTCACCAAGGGACGTCTGTCTCCGGAAACTCTCGAACTGATACGCCAGCGTGGAGCCGCACGAGCTGCAGGCAATCACCGAACTCACGTCCGAGCTTGCGAAGCTATGCAGAGAGGCGATAAAGGAAGATCTCAAGGAGCGAAGAGCAGCAGTATTAGCTGAAGCAGCAGAGGCTGGGAGGAGCATCCGCAATGCCCGCCGAAGCTTTGCCAGCTACAAGACCAAGATGACCTGCCTCCGACGTCCGATGGAACAGTCACTGCATCCCGAAGGGCAATGGAGAAAGTCATCCACGACTTCTACTCGGATCTCTTCGATAGCCATGTCCATCTGCCCACTTATCAACTGCAACAGGATGGATACGTCGTCCCCTCAGTTCTCTCTTCCGAAGTCCGACACGCCATCAAGTCGGTGAAGAATCGTACAGCACCCGGTCTCGACAGGGTCAAACCGGAACATCTGAAGAATGCGCCGCCAGTTATCATCAAAACTCTGGCTCGACTCTTCACGCGCTACCTGTCGGAATGCAAGGTACCCACTCCGTGGAAAACCAGCAGGACCGTGTTGCTGTACAAGAAGGGAGACTTGGACGACATTGGCAACTATCGCCCAATCTGCCTGCTGTCTGTAATCTACAAGCTATTCACTCGAGTCATCCTTAACAGGATCGGCAGAATACTAGATGAAGGACAGCCATGCGAGCAAGCAGGGTTTCGAAGAGGGTTCAGCACGATCGACCATATCCACACGGTTACAAGACTCATTGAAGTTTCACGAGAGTACAAGATGCCGCTTTGTCTCACGTTCATCGACTTGAAGAAGGCCTTCGACTCTGTGGAGACAGAAGCGGTCATCGAAGCCTTGGGCAACCAGGGCGTCCCTACTCAGTACATCAAGATTCTTCGTGAGCTCTACAGCAACTTTACGACCAGAATCTCACCATTCTACAAGGAGGTCATCATCGACGTCAAGAGAGGGGTTCGACAGGGCGACACCATCTCGCCCAAACTCTTCAGCGCCACTCTCGAGAACGTCATGCGTCAACTGGAATGGGAAGACATGGGAGTGAAGGTCGACGGCCGGCAACTACACCACCTTCGTTTTGCTGACGACATCGTTCTTATAACGCCGAACATCGAGCAAGCGGAGCGAATGCTGGCTGATTTCGACTGCGCCTGTGTGGTACCAGCGCTTCGGTCTCACACGGCTGAACCTAACGAAGACGATGTTTATGAGAAACGGATTGGTTCCTGATGCCCCATTCACGCTCAACGGAACGAACATCACCGAATGCTCCAGCTACGTGTACCTAGGTCGGGAAATCAATATGATGAACGATCTAGCTCCAGAGCTGAGCAGGAGGAAACGAGCGGCTTGGGGAGCGTATAAGAACATCGAGGGAGTAGTGAAGAAGACGAAGAACATCCGGCTCCGTGCCCACCTCTTCGATTCCGCTGTCCTTCCTGCCCTAACCTACGCCTCAGAGACTTGGACTCTGCGCAGGCAGGACGAGCATGCGGTCAGCGTTATCCAACGCGCTGTCGAGAGGACGATGCTAGGAGTAACCCTGTACACGCAAGTGCAGAGGGGAATCCGGAGTGCCGAACTACGCCAACGATCGAAGATCAGGGACGCTGCCGTTTTCGCCAAGGAATCGAAGATAAGGTGGGCCGGACACGTCATGCGATTTTGCGATGACCGTTGGACCAGAGCGGTTACCGACTGGATCCCTCGGGACGTCAAACGAACACCTGGACGACCGCCGGCCCGATGGTCAGACTTCTTCACGAAAGCTCTGAACGAAAGGAATGAAGGACACGTGTCCCTCGAGCGAGGAGGGTCCACTGGACAACTCTTGCACGCGACAGGGACGAATGGAGACGTTGCTGGCGCCCGCTCGAGCAATTCGATGATCAACGGGACGACAGGTGATACAGGTGAAATTTTTCTCTCAACGCAGCTACCCTATGTTTTAAATGCATCAACAAACACCTCCCTATCGATGTTTTCAAAATTGACTTTCTTGAGATGTAGGATTTGCCTTGTATGTTATAGCCTTTTTGGATATTCATTGTGACTTTGATAATACGCTAGGGCTTTTTTTCTTCGCACCCTGCGCAGCAGGGTCAACCGTCCGTTGGACAAAGTCCAACGCGACGACGAGAGTAATGCCGAGAGTGAACGTACGCACGGAGACACAGACGGCTCGCGGGTGGCGAGAGTGAATGCCGGCGCGGAGAGCGGTGAACATCGGTCCAACGTCGCTCCAATATCGGTCCAACGTAACGGTTGACCCTGCCACTGCAGCTGTGTTCCTTCTGATCGCGGTAGAATCACGCACCTGAGTAAACGAGAGATACGAGATCGTCTGCAGGACCTTGGTCAATGCGTTCATGCACTCGAATCGACACATAACGCACTGTTCTCAAAATTGTGCCCTGATGATGATTACAAACCAGAAGGATCTGGAGGTTTCTATATAGAACTCGCCCCGGACTTCTCGGCTGTTGAAATATTAAAAGCTTTTAACGTAAATTTTAGCAAAATTTGAGGTCCTAATTGCACTGTCACTTTGCTTCGTTGAATTAAAACACAATGGCTAAAAGGTGACAAGTAGCAAAAAAGTGCAAGTGAGAGCTCACCTTCAGACAGGCAAACTCAATGCCCTCAGTTGCCTATACCCTCATTTGCCCCCTCACACCTCTTTCCATTCCAGAACACTAGCGCCATCCGAACGGCTCACTAGATTTAGAGGTTATGCTATTGTTCTTAATTTCAGCTTGCTTGTGGGACAGTTGATCCGATCGGTGCGTTTGTGAATGTCGTGTGCGTTCGTAGCCCGGATGTTATGCTGACAACCTAAAGACGCGGGACTACAAAGTGATGTTTCGAGGGGCTCTGACCTCATGAGGCAAGAGACGTGGTGTATTTTGGGAGAGGATCGTCTGCAGTGTGACAAGAAGGTGTCAAGCATGGTGGCGGATGCTGTGGAAGGTCCCATCTTCAACTAAAAATGACGTTTCACCACTATTCTTTTCAACCAAAATATACCGTGCATTACAAAGCCACAGATGTTTCAATACTATTCGCTGAGAACTACGTGTTGCTTTTCGTTTCAGCTACAGAACTTTCAAGAAAGGTAATCATGCTTTGTAGCACTTATCACACATCGTTCTGATTCAGCGGGCATGATTCATTTCAGTAGAACTTGCTTACCGGAACCCTGCTCTCGGCCTGAGAGGACGCGTAGTGCCATCCAAATTTTTGAATCGTCGCACGAGTCCAAAATCAACTATTACAAGTATATGACGAGTCTACAAACATTTTCCTCATGATTGGACACATAGTTCATAAAGAGGCATTCTTTGATATAGATGAGTCAGAAGATTATGGCTTAACATTGGAATATAGTTAAATTACCTGAGTAGTGATCCCAAAACACATATTAGCTGGTTTCACGTCCCTGTGAATATATCCACCCAAATGGACATCTCGTAAAGCAGCAATAGCCTTAATACAAAGTTACACTTATCAACCCTCTTCGATGTGAGAGTCGCGAGTTGGTATTAGGAGAAAGCGTCGTCCTGCGCGAAGTCACATTTCTCATGATGAGCTGAGTCTATACCAGGGTGAATATCGGTCGAGGAAATCCTCGACAGGAGGGGTCGTACTTGTCAGGGTGGGTCATGGGGGTCGTACTCATTGGGGTCAGTAACGTCAGATAGGAGAGAGAGGGTGTAGCGCAGCAGAAAACAAGGATATGTGAAAAAACATGAGATAAAATATTCTTTGCAGGTCCAGTCGCTCCATTCCTTTACCTTTATGAGAAGGACGTATTTGAAAGCAGTACAAGGAATGAAAGTGCATCTCCGCAATGTGTACACGTGCTGTAGAGGCACCTCCTTTATCTAGGCCCGCTCTCTCGCCCTTAATACCTTGCTGAGAATAGCACTATTGTTATGGACACTGTCGCAAACCGGCAAGAGTTCTGGAAAGACCATTGGCAAATGAAGCTGTTCTTAGGTTACGGGAGTTACGAAATGTGTTTACTACAATACAGTTTCTGTCAACAGGTCATCATCATATGTGTAACACCTTTCAATAGATTCTACAACTTGAGTGGAGGTCGGATGCATGGCCTATACTGAGACGAGATCGGACGATGACGATTGCCCCTTTTCTTGTCGCTTACGTTGGGAGAATTTGTTCTAGACCCATTTCGAGCGCTGTCAACAGATAATATGTATTTGCAGTGGTGAAGAAGGAGCGGCTTTTTGAGCGGTTGAGAATCATCCTTGATAGATCCTCTCGGCGCACATATCTCCTTCAACTAGAGAATATAGAAGGAAACTAAACATA